GCCACTTGAGCAGTCCTGGTCGCCTGACAGAGTGCTCTCTTATATCTCTTCTCCTCAGTTTGTTGTGGCCCCCTTCGGTTCAGGACTGTTTCTCTAAAGCTCTTTTCTTGTTGGCATTGGCCTCTGGGGGTCGGGTCGGGGAGCTTCATACTCTCCTCCGGCAAAGGGTTTCTGCTCGTTTGGTCCTGGAGGTAGGTTTGTTCCTTTGCAGCCGTCTCCTTCTTTTCTGGCGAAGAATGAGACTGCTGTTTTCAGGAGGGGTCCTTAGGTTGTTGATGCTTGGTTCATCAGGCCGGGGGGGCATCATGTGTTTTTTCCGGTTGCGGCTCTTTGCCGTTATTTGCGCACCACAAACTCTGTAGCCGGGGATGCATTTTGGGTTGATCCGGTCTCCCTTCTTCCCTGTTTCAGGGTTCGGGTCTCCCAGGTCGTCTGCAGGATTTTCAGACGTTGAACAAGGTCCTGGCTGCATGTTACATGGTAAACGTTCCTGGGCCTAGTCAGACTTGTGTCGCTTTGGGTTGGCGGTTGCAGTCAGTTGTCTTGACTTCGAGTTGAGGAGTGAGCGACTACCGCCTCCTGGGTAAGTCTCTATGGTTTTCATCTGTGGGTAGGTAGCTCCGGGGAAGCCGACGGGGCTTCCCCCCCAGAAAACCGGCATTGAATGTAATGAAACGCCTATTTTCTGGGTGAGTCCCAAAGGTTCCCCGGCAACCTCCCCAACCTGGTCGGCGTTTTTTTGTGCGTTTTTTATGTCAAGCCTCAGAACTGGGGTGTGGATGGCCGGCACAGGGGTCTGGGGCTCCCCCTTCCCATTCCCAGGGAGGGGGGAACAGCACAGACAGCGGCGCGGCGACATGTGATGTCATGCTCGTTTGCTCATTTCTGTTTGGGGAGTTCTATCCACTTGTTCAGCTTTTTGTAGCAATTTCACCAGAATAAGGGTTTGTTTTGGGACGCTTACCTTTCTGGGTGCCTAACCCGGTCAACGGCAGACATAAAATGCTTCCAACCACACGGAGGTTTATATAGGCCATTACTCCTCGTGGCTCTGTGAGGGGGCCAGGTTCTGGCTCGTGGTCCTCAGTAGGCCCACAGAATTCCATACACATGACTGATGCCAAAATCTGACATTAGCATATCAGCCTGGATAGCTCCGGGGAGCCTCCGGGACTCACCCAGAAAATGGCGTTTCATTACAGTCAACGCTTGTTTTTTTGGGGGGCCCTCAGTAGTTTCCCAAAGCTTATATTCTGGTATAGCCAAGCTTTAAGAATTGCACCAAGTCCCACTTCAACCAGTCCAGGTGGGGTTGAACACCCGGATATGAACAGCACAGAGAGCCACACCCCGATAATCAAGCAGACGAGTCACTCGAAACGACCAGCCCCAAAGAGCTAAGAGAACAAAGAGAATGGAAGAGAACCCCCATGGTTTAGACAATGAACCATGGGAGAGCAGTCCAAATTGAGCCGGATCGTAGAACCCTGAGCGACCCGAACCCTCTAAAGTGACAGCCAAACTACCGCGAACTCCCACACCATGCTGTGAGCCCGACAGAGCCCACCGCCCCCGGCTGGCCTGATGAGCACTAGACACAAAACCCCAGCCAAGAGATGAGGCATCTTTGAACACATTGAGCGAGAGCTCAGGTAATCGCCAAGGCACTGAACCACGAAAAATCTGAAGAGGAAGACAGTGATGCAGCAACTGACACAATGACCAAACCCAGTGATCGCAAGAGAGGTGGAAGGGATGCCCTTGAAGGAACCAGAAGACACACCAAAGCTAGATCTGACCTAGTGGCGAAGTTCAAAATCCCGCACTGCTGCTCGAGGAACCGCCGAGTGACCCAGGAACCCCCCCCCCCCCAGACACAGCTGAAGGCAGGACTACAGTCGCAGCAATGCCGCCAGAGGGAAAGACATGGAAACGGTCCTAGAGTCCCACATGTCAGCCAGGTCCGAACCTGGGACGGAACCAGATGGGACTTCCTCTAGTTCACCAGGAATCCGAACTCGGCGAGCTGGGAAACAACCACACCCCTGACGAGCAGACAAGCAAACCAACTAGGAGCCCACACCAACCAGCTGTCGAGGTAGGCCAGAACCCGAACTCCTAGTAGATGCAAAGGGGTCATTACGACCCGGATAAGATGCGTGAATATGAGAGGTGCCAGATTCAAGCCAAATGGAAGGCAATGAAAGCGGTAAGCCTACCACCCCACAATGAAACCTAGCCAATCCCAGAACCCCTGGATGCAGCGGGACATGCCAATACATGTCCCTGAGGTCCAGAGACACCATCCAAGAACCCGGCTCCTTGACCTGGAACAGAGTGGGCATCTGAAAGGAAGGGCAAGGAATCCAGGGGTTTAGACGAGAAAAGTCCAGAATGAACTGCAAATCAGCACTGTCCCATTTCGGCATTGGAAACAAGCGATAAACCCACCTGAGGAATAGGGGTCGGTTCGACCACACCCAAGCATACCCACTCCAAGATGACAGACAGAGCAAAGGGGAAGCAGCCTGCCCCGAACCCCCCTAAGGAGGAGGAGCCAAAAAACACCACCTCAGGATGGAGGACACGATCCAAGATGACCACAAATTGTGGGGCCAGGCATGAGCAAACATCTTCGAGCCTTCCCCTGATCGCCAACCCACAAAAGGACTAACGCCCCTTACGAGAAGCCGATCGATGAGCAGAGCGAGCTTTGTGCCGACCAGACGACGCCGGCTCCGAAGGAAGCGCCAGCTCAGAACTGACACCAAGGGCCTGCCCTGACTGGAAGAGTCCCGAGCACTCTCACAGCCCTGCTGAGATGCCCGAGAACAGCCACCCCAGAGAAGCAACAAATCCGATATAGAACGACAACTAGATGAAGCCGCCTGCAGAAACCGAATGACAGTAGTCTTCGCAAACAGCAATGGACAAAAAGGGGACAAAAACCTAAGAGCCAGGGCCCTAAGCGGAGTCCAAGGAGAGAGTGAGCATGGTTGGGAGACATGCAAGGCAAGAGGCAAAGAACAGAGACACCGCCTCCCTGTGAATTGGCGCAAACAGCTTCAACAGCACGGCCGACACCCTAGCCGCTGATGCCAGTGCCTCAGATGAAGGCCCGGCGCTCAACGCCTCCACATCCTCCCCAAGCCACTCTGAGGACACCTTGAGAAGGAAAAAAGACGTGCAAGACCGAGGCCAAATGCCCGTGAGTGTGCAAGTCCTCAGCCACTAAGGACGCCGAAAGGGTGGAAGGTAATATATATATATATATATATATATATATAAAAAATTAGAGAAAATATATTAATTCAGGAAAACTTGGCTTAGTAGGCAAATTGGGCCTTGCATAGTAGGCTGAGAAGTGCGTTCTGGCTACTAGGTACGGCATTTTATATATATATATATATATATATATATATATATATATATATATATATATATATATATATATATATATATATATATATATATATATATATATATGTATATATATGTATATGTATATATATGTATATATATATATATATATATATGTCGTACCTAATAGCCAGAACGCACTTCTCAGCCTACTATTCAAGGCCCGATTTGCCTAATAAGCCAAGTTTTCATGAATTAATGTTTTTTCGTCTACCTAACCTACCTAACCTAACCTAACCTAGCTTTTTTTGGCTACCTAACCTAACCTAACCTATAAATATAGGTTAGGTTAGGTTAGGTAGGGTTGGTTAGGTTCGGTCATATATCTACGTTAATTTTAACTCCAATAAAAAAAAATTGACCTCATACATAGAGAAAAGGGTTGCTTTATCATTTCATAAGAAAAAAATTATAGTAAATATATTAATTCAGGAAAACTTGGCTTATTAGGCAAATCAGGCCTTGAATAGTAGGCTGAGAAGTGAGTTCTGGCTACTAGGTACGACATATATATATATATATATATATATATATATATATATATATATATATATATATATATATATATATATATATATATATATATATATATATATATATATATATATATATATATATATATATATATATATATATATATATATATATATATATATATATATATATATATATATATATATATATATATATATATATATGTCGTACCTAGTAGCCAGAACTCACTTCTCAGCCTACTATGCGAGGCCCGATTTGCCTAATAAGCCAAGTTTTACTGAATTAATATATTGTCTCTAATTTTTTTCTTATGAAATGATAAAGCTACCCATTTCATTATGAATGAGGTCAATTTATTTTTATTAGAGCTAAAATTAACGTAGATATATGACCGAACCTAACCAACCCTACCTAACCTAACCTAACTTATCTTTATAGGTTAGGTTAGGTTAGGTAGCCGAAAACGTTAGGTTAGGTTAGGTTAGGTAGGTTAGGTTGTCGAAAAAACATTAATTCATGAAAACTAGGCTTATTAGGCAAATCAGGCCTTGCATAGTAGGCTCAGAAGTGAGTTCTGGCTACTAGGTACGACATATATATATATATATATATATATAAAATGCCGTACCTAGTAGCCAGAACGCACTTCTCAGCCTACTATGCAAGGCCCAATTTGCCTACTAAGCCAAGTTTTCCTGAATTAATATATTTTCTCTAATTTTTTTCTTATGAAATGATAAAGCTACCCATTTCTTTATGTAAGAGGTCAATTTTTTTTTATTAGAGTTAAAATTAACGTAGATATATGACCGAACCTAACCAACCCTACCTAACCTATCTTTATAGGTTAGGTTAGGTTAGGTAGCCGAAAAAGTTAGGTTAGGTTAGGTTAGGTAGTCGAAAAACAATTAATTCATGAAAACTTGGCTTATTAGGCAAATCGGGCCTTGCATAGTAGGCCGAGAAGTGCGTTATATATAATATGTCGTACTACTAGGTACGACATATATATATATATATTTTTTTGTTTTGTTTTTTTGTATATATACAGTAGCTTATACAGGACCACGGAAATGTTGACGTACTAGACTTTTGAGACTTTGAATCCATTTCATCAGGTGTTCCATCATTGAGGTTGACATCTGTCCATGCATCATCAGTTGGTTGAGAGTTCTGTTCCTCATTGAGGCTGACAGCTCCTGAGCCAACATCACTCCCTGCCTCACCTACATCAGAACCCTGCCAAAAAACAAATGCTTTTGATAATTTGTTTATTTTATATATATATATATATATATATATATATATATATATATATATATATATATATATATATATATATATATATATATATATATATATATATATATATATATATATATTATATATTATATATATATTTACATATATTTATATATAAATTGGCTTGCTTCAGCAATGGGCATAAAGAATTAAGAGAGCAGAAAATATATACGCTTATTCCAAGTTATCCCCCTTTTTCATAATTTTATTGATCATAATTTATTAATAATGTTCATAGCACAGACTTAAAATACAAAATACAGTATCTGATTACTACAAATACACACTCACAAACATGACTAAACTATGACTAATATATGCAAAGAATCAAATAAATCATCATATTTATTGAATACAAAAATCTGTAAAAGAAAACCCTATTTTGGTCTTCAATACTTTCAAAATTTGAATTAAATTCTAAATAAAACATCCCGCATGCTTTACCTGCCAAATACCATCACCAATTAGGAATGCCTCAAAAACAATTAATAAAGAATACAGTACTTGAAAACATTTAGTGATGCAAATTCAAATCTTCCAAGCAAAATAAAATCCCATGACAAAAGCTCTAGTGCAACAGCAATTTTCAAACTTTCTATGAATTCAGAATAATATAACAGCAGGTGCAGATGAAAGTTGAAAATGGTGATAAAATAAGTAGTACAGCATAATCTCACACAATTTTGAAAACTTTAGCTTAAAAATGGAGTTTAGTGAAACTGGAATGCTGATTTCTGAGCTGGTCACTCAGTCATTCCCTTAGGCAATATGGTCTCCCATCTCTTGGTTATCTTGAGATGATTTCGGGGCTTAGCGTCCCTGCGGTCCGGTCCTTGACCAGGCCTCCTTTTTGTTACACATTCCCAGTTAGACAACAGCCCGTAGCAGCTGTCTAACTCCCAGGTACCTATTTACTGCTAGGTGAACAGGGCCATCAGGGTGAAAGAAACTCTACCCATTTGTTTCTGCCTCTGCCGGGGATCAAACCGGAAACCTTAGGACTATGAATATTGAGCGCTGTCCACTCAGCCATCTGGCCCACATTAGGCAGTATGGTCTTCCATTAGGCAGTATGGTCTCCCATTAGGTAGTATGGTCTCCCATTAGGCAGTATGGTCCCCCATTAGACAGTATGGTCTCCCATTAGGTAATATGGTCTTCCATTAGGCAGTATGGTCTCCCATTAGGCAGTATGGTCTCCCATTAGGCAGTATGGTCTCCCATTAGGCAGTACGGTCTCCCATTAGGCAGTATGGTCTCCCATTATGCAGTATGGTCTTCCATTAGGCAGTATGGTCTCCCATTAGGCACTATGGTTTTCCATTAGGCAGTATGGTCTCTCATTAGGCAGTACGGTCTCCCATTAGGCAGTACGGTCTCCCATTAGGAAGTACGGTCTCCCATTAGGCAGTATGGTCTTCCATTAGGCAATACAGTTTTCCATTAAGCAATTTGGTCAACTGTCAGGGACAAGAAGCATGTAAGGCTTATACAAGTTTGCCTAGGCCTGACCTTCTCCAGGATGCAATCCAAAACAGTTCCCTAACTCCCAAGTACCTGTTTACTGCTAGGTAAACAGAGCTATTGGGTAAAAGGAAACATGGTTAAATCCTGCCAGAACTAAGAACCTGGGGCCATTTGGTTATGAACTGTGCTGACCACTGCACTACAGGACATTGCAAACTCCAGCCTAGACCAGTATGACTTTACTTATCCTGATGAAGCAGAGAACTTTTTTTAAATGCTTCTGCCAGGCCATACATAAAAGGAGTAAAGGAATCACTGGAGAACTTGAAATTCAGCCCTTAATGACAGTCAAAAGATGCCTTCTCTGCACTCAAATACCTCACTAGGCATATGTGAAATCAAATAGATTACCAAATATTTTCCTGCTACTCCGAACATCCAATAAACTAGTTGCCCATCTGACTGCCACCACGAACAATCAGCAGGTGGCAGCACTGGTAGTGTAAAGAGTCAGTCAGCCTCTTGCCTCACTTTCATACAACTTGCCACTCACTCTAAAAAGAAATGGAGCAGCGAAGGCAGAACAAAAAGGAGGCTGGCATGGCAGCAACTGGAAACAAATATTTCCCCTATACTCAATGCCTTACTTTTTTAGCATAAACCACTTAAGTCATCCTTTAGGCAAGATTCCAGTCACACTTAGAGGAGGAAATTAATGCAGTAAAAGACAATCAACAGGTTACTTGTACCAAAGAAGGGACTAGAGGATCTCAGAAGTAACAAAGAGAACTGAATCCTGAAAAAGCAGACATCTAAGGCCCAAACCCCATTGACAGACTAGAACATTAGAAACATGCAAACCACCACACTCAACAAAAATGTATAGTGGAGAGAAGGAAATTTTACAAATGTGCAGATTGTCCTTCAAATCCCCTTGGCCAATCTATGCATGTTATCACAGAAAAAGGCCATGAGGATGGATAACTTATGAAGATCATGGGCAGGGGGGTACATACCCAGCTGGCCGAGCTTGGTCAACCTACATATAAGCCGAAGCTTATGATCCGTGGGTTCAGAAAGAGCACTACAGACAGCAAATACAGAGGCTTTATTTGCTTTAAATCTCAACCCAAGATATTGGGAGAGAGCAACCACAAGGCACAGTACATTCTGAACAGATAGCCACAAATAAGGCCAACAAAAAAGTAAGGTCCCACTGGAAAGAAGTATCATTCTTTGCCACGAAGAAGAGATTAGTTTAGAAACAAACATAGGTGTCACCACAGCTAAAGTCACCCTAAATGATGCAGCAAAGCTCACCAGCCCAACTGCTAGTAGACACAAACAGGAATGTACCAGTAAGCATCCTGTAGCTCCAGAGAAATGAGCCAAAATCAACACAAAGCTACCTGTTGAACCTGGATGTTGAGCTGCATAGCAGCCATGCCCTAAGATGAAATATAGAAAGACCCACTTCAAAAAATCTTACCAAGTACAGTACAAGGAAAATTCTCTTTCGCTGAAGCCAGCACTGGAGACCTTCAAAACTGTCTCCACTTCCATACATAAAGATGTGAATTGCCTGCCATCAAGAGGAAACAAGAACCCAATACTACAACTAGGAAGAGTAAGGAAAACTAAATTCCAAGTCAGATCCAGCACTAAGCTATGGTTCTTGTCCCACAACAGGAACATTAACAAGTCCCTCCATGCCTGGAAGTCATGGAAACCAATGAAGGAATCTGTGAAGAGTCAGAATGTTAAGAGCCTTTCATAGGCACAATGAAATGATTACAATGCAGTTACGTGGAGGAATCACACTCAAACCGAGACAGGTAAAGCAGCTACCCAACTCGGAGATGATTACCACTACGCTTGTAAAAGGAAAAGAAAGGCTTCATCCTATGTTGTCAATGCCTCTAACCAAACCATATCCCCTACCAAAGAAGAGCTTGGGCTGGCCAAGAAGCTCGGCTCAGAAGCAACATTCCAACCCAGACCAGTGCCCAGCAGCAAGGGCTCCTCAAACGAAACCACCAACAACCCGTTAAGATAGGCACAAATTTCCATGCAGTAGGGAAAAGGAAACATTAAGTTACCAATAGCTCTGCAAGAGGCTCCTGCATAATGTTCACTTCCTCCTAGGAGGCAGGAAATGAGCCTATATCCTCAAGCTCATCAGACACAAGCACCTGTAAGGCCAATGAATGGAGCTATTTAAGCACTAGTCAGAGGCGGTGATCAGAAAGCCAAATAATGCATAGCTGGTACATATCTGGATGTCACAATGCTCAAACTCACAATTTAGCTAGAATGGGAATTCCAAAATCTTATGAAAGAAAAGGAGGAGGACAAACTCCCTTCAAGCAGAAAACTGTGATAATATATCCCTTGTGATTCTTCAGAGCACGAATCTATAGCTTAAAGACGCATCATATGACACTCGATTGCTTGGGGGCTCGAATAAGCTTGTGGACCAAACCTGACACACAGGACACTCATGTGTGTGAAAACGAACCTGCACCCAACTAAGGAGAGAGGAACTCAACAAATGTCAGCTGAACACATTGTTGACTAGAACCAGAAACCTACCTGGTATGAAAACATTTTCATACCAGTTAGGTAAAGTCAAAGGAGACACAGTAGCCATGAATATATACATACACACAAAAGGAAGTTAACAGAGAATAGGCTCCCTGCCCAGGAGACAATATTGAGAATGAATCAACTGTTACTGAACTAAAATAAGTCGCTCATCGACTGAGCTAAATAGACTGAGACTGTTCACACTACCGATGTTATCTTATGACAAGTGGTGGCCAGACAGACAAATAGTTTATTGGTGTTAAGAGTAAAACAGTAATACTTTGGTAGCATATTTGATTTCAAGTACCGCCTAGAGAAGGTTTATGAGAGTTGAGGAATGAACGTTCTAATGGTTATTCAGAACATGATTGAGACATTTCCAGTGGCTTGGAGGATGAATTTAGTAAAGATCCCCACTATGTCTGGAGATGAAAGGTCCCACTGATCCAGGCTGTAGCTTGCAATTACCATTGTTGGGGACAGGAAGCTGGAACTTAGGCTCATCAAGGTTTCATTAGGCCAACTATTGATGTTTCCCACGATGCAACCCACAATAACTGCCTTAACTCCTAGGTACGTATTTTACTGCTTGGATAAACAAAGGCATCAAGTGAAGGAAACGTGCCCAACCATTTCTGTCCTGCCTGGGAATTGAATCCAGGTCCCTTGGTTGTGAGCCAAGGAGGAGTCAGATGCAGTATTCCCTAAAGGAGTGACTGGGTGACCAATTCTCAGAGGTAACAATAAAAGTATAATTTACTTAAGCAGTAGTCTCATTAATTTATCTTCCACATACTGTGCATAGTTTAACAAAACATTATTCCTAAACATATATAAATATGAATGCTATGCAATGGATTATTAACCTGCACTATTAAGTTCATTTATAGACTGTATCCTGAAGTTCTTTTTTAATTGATAGCTTTGTTTTCACAATGTCTGCAGCATAGTTATAAGAAATTCAAAACATTACATGAATTATATATGTTAAAATTTGACTTAAGATGCAGTTAATGTATCCATGTGACCATTTTCCAATTAAAACACATGTAACTTAAAAAAAAAAAAACTGTGCAAACAGAAAGAAAGTAAAACACATCTTCATCAAAGCCAAATCAGGAGCACGCTATCAAACATGAAGATACTCTACCAAATGTTACCTTAGGGTTTATCATGTTGTTGCGAGCTACTGGCTTAGAAACCTTAGCTCCATAGGCATTACAACCATACTTAGGGACAGGGCCAGTTCCTAGAGTGTGGTTAGACTGGGGAGAGACCAGGTAGGTCAGGTTAGTAGTTTTGGTTAATGGTATAAGCAAATAACTCAAGGTTGTATGCTGGGAACTAGTATGTTTGCACAAAGAGAAACAGGTCAATTATAATATCCAGCCCACACACATATATGAAAAGGAAAAAGTGATGATGTTTCGGTCTATCCCGGGCTCTTATCAAGTCGTCCAGGATGTGTCGAGCTCTTTTTTTGCCAATTCAATAAGGGTCTAGGATGACAAGAACATCATCACTTCCCTTCTTTCCAGGGATGGGTTGGGTATTAATTTTCAGCCACATTATTTTGACTTATTCTTTGGAGGTTATTTATACAATGTCACATCATTAACGGTTTTCTATTGGATGCTGTCTATGTTGTGCAGTTTCTCTTGAAATTATTTTCGTTGATACCAAGTTTCTCTCAGTGTTAGTCACAATTCTTTACTACTGTTCTACTAGCATTCACAAATAATCAGCATCGAGAAGCATTATGTTGTTAGTTTGATGACATTAAATTCAAGAACATATTTTATAAGCACTATTTTCAAAAGTACAAAAGACAAGCTAAATGTTAAGAACTCTGAAAAGAAATTAGTTACTTTAAGAATTAATAAAAAAAATTTAATTAACAAGTTTTCATCATTATTCTTTACCTAAACATTTTAATAATAATAATAGTGCCTACACTTTGGGTACGACATACCTAATAGCTTTTCAGTCCTCATAAATCAGATTTTTTTGTATTAATTATTAATCTTTATTTACTGGTCATCACATACCTCCTAGTTTTGCTGTTCAAAATATTCTGTAATGTATTTCCAACCCTAATAGTTTTCCCACTTTCCATATACTGTACTCAAATCTGGTACAAGACGATAGGTAATAAAATCTGTTCAAACTAGATACAATACACCAAACCAATCATGATACTCTTTCTAAGCAAGATTATAGCAGAATACTATCAGCCTCATTTAACCACTGCACTGCGCAATGCACCTTGAGGCTCTCGATGGGTGATGCGCAGCGCGCCTCAAAGCTCTCATAGGTATAGTGTACGATTCAAAAGTCGCACGTGGTGACGCGAGTACGAAATGTATGCCTGAGGCCTCCAGTGATCGTTCACCATTTTGAAAAAAACCCAGCATGCCCCAGGGCCGTGGGAACCCTCAGTTTCAAGGAGGCAACCATGTCTGACGTATCGTCTATCAGCTCCCGGTCCACGGTCAGCTGCGGTCCAGCAAAACAACTCGCAGAGGACAAAAATACGGAACATATTGTATGATGATGGAGTGATGGATGATGATTTAGATTACAGTCCTGAAAAAGCCTAACACAGGGGTCGAACTCGAGTGATGGGGACACGGAGGTGAACGATGTCGCGGGTGTGTACCGTACACATGCCTTGCCCAGCCTGCCTCGCCGCCCTGGGTCAACACCGCTGGAGTCACCATCACCATGTGTGTCCCCTGATGTGAGTGTATTTAGTGATACCACATGTGATGAACCATTCTCTGGCTTCAGTGACATAGGCTCTGATACAAGAAGTGTTGATGAAGCAACTACAAGCAGCGATGGTGTTACTAGGTGGGGTTTTGCTGCCCCAGCAACAAGCCAAGGCAAGCAGCAGTGAGTCACGTGGTCTGAAGACAGAGACGATAGTGTTCCCTCGACATCAGGTGTCCGTGGTCCGTGGTAGGCTTATACTACACAGAACTCTCATCTCCTGGCATACCCATATGCAGCTCTAGCACAAAACAACGGAGCCGTGTTTTGGGGGCCCATGCTGGTGGTGGTTGTGGTGTTGAAGCCAAAACCAAAACCACTTGTGTACTTGTGTGGGAGGATTGTGAGACTTTTGTCCCACAAATTCCAATATTTGATAGTACCGATGTTGGTGTGACACCCTTATTCCACTATACTAGTGATGAGGCTGAAATTGACTATTATATGGCATATTTTAATCAGGAATTCATGGACCATCTCATTGCAGAGACGAACAGATATGCTTTGCAACTCATTGCCTCTGGAATTTTACCTGCCTCTCGCATGACACGTTGAAAAGATACGACATATGAAGAAATGTATGTGTTTTTAGCATTGACTGGGGAGCCGGTCAGCCGAGTGGACAGCACGCTGGACTTGTGATCCTGTGGTCCTGGGTTCGATCCCAGGCGCCGGCGAGAAACTATGGGCAGAGTTTCTTTCACCCTATGCCCCTGTTACCTAGCAGTAAAATAGGTACCTGGGTGTTAGTCAGCTGTCACGGGCTGCTTCCTGGGGGTGGAGGCCTGGTCGAGGACCGGGCCGCGGGGACACTAAAAAGCCCCGAAATCATCTCAAGATAACCTCAAGATAAGATACATGATGATGAAGCATTCAGAAAAACACGTGATCCAGGATTATTGGAGCAAAGACAGCCTTGTTCCATCCCCCGTGTTCAACAGGTACATGTCCCGTGATAGGTTCCTGCTGCTTCTCAGGTGCCTGCACTTTGAGAACAATGATAATGAAGACAGAACCGACCGACTGTGGAAGGTGCGGAAGGTATTTAGCGAGATGAGAGAAAAGTTCCATGACGATTTTGTACCAGGACAGAATGTCCTGACTGATGAATTGCTAGTTCTCTTCAAGGAACGACTGGCATTCATACAGTATATTCCATCAAAGCGGCACCGATTTGGACTCAAGTTTTTCGTGCTATGTGACTGTGAAACTGGTATTGTCATGGACATGATACTGTATTCAGGTACAGTCGTTGACATACCAGGTCAAGATCCATACGAGTTCTCAGGCAGTGTCGTGAAAACCCTCATGGAACTGGTGCTGCACAAGGGGCATATCCTGTTCACGGACAACTACTATACCAGCCCCTTGCTGACCAGATTCCTCCTCGACCATAACACCAGCGTATGTGGCAATGTCAAGGATAACAGGAGAGAAATGCCTGTGTTTGGCATTGGTATTGCAGTGGGTGATTGTCAGCTGCGAAAGTGTGAACAAATGTTATGAGTGCACTGGAGGGACAGACGCGAGGTGAATATGTTGACAACTATTCACACCGTTGCCAGTGTTGGACAGTGGCAAAGTGAACTTTGCAACACGGTTCCCAATATATAAGCCTGATTATGTCATTGACCACAACGTAAATATGAGGCTAGTTAATAAATGTGACATGATGATTGGTGCTGTCGAGTGCGTGCGAAAATCTGTGAAGTGGACAAAGAAATTTTTTTCCACCTTATTGACGTTGCAGTGCTGAACTGTTTCATTATGTATCTCATGAAATCTGGCAAGAGAGCCCCAATACATACATTCAGTTTTGCTCTAGTGTCATAACTGCTCGTGAGGTATGGGGTGGAGGGCTCTGTTACAACGTGTGGGGTGCCAGCAACAATGCCTCATGCAGTTCCTGACAGACTCAGGGGAAGAATATTCTGGCTGTACACAAGCTTGGTTACATGGCAGACACAGGCACATGGGACAAGGGTAAACGTGCCTGCGTCGTCTGCAAGAACACACACCGCAAGGAACACAAGTGAAGATGCATCTGCACATGATGCATTGAGTGCAAAGTTCCCCCTATGCCCCGTTGACTGCTTCACTGATTATCACACACTCGCATTCTAAGTGTGTTGATAGGTGATGTATATAGTCATGTGATAGTGTACAGTGTGTAAATATGTTATAAATGTACATATTTGAACATGAAATATTGGAAATATGATTAATGTTTGTGGACACATTTGTGATACATATAACACAGTGTCTTGGAACAGCACGAATGTTCTACTGCCAGAATATTATAACCGTGGTCAATATACATAGGATTAGCAAGAAAATCAGTGTTGAATCTAATGAAACTACATTTTCTGGGTGAGACCTGGAGGCTCCCCGGAGCTTATCCATGCTGATATGGAACAACTATTAGACTTTCGCATCATTTAGTGTGAATGGAGTTCTTAGGCCAACCAAGGACCACAAGCCAGAACCTGGCCCCCCTCAGAGAGGCACAAGGAGCAATGGCCTATAGAAATGCACATGTGATGTGTAGCATTCTATGTCTGCCATCGACTGGGTCAGACACCCAGAAAGGTAAGCATCCCAAAACAAACCTCTATTCTGGTTGAAACTACTACTAAAAGTCAAATGAATAGACAGAACTCCCCAAAGAAAAACAAGCAAACGATGTCAAAACACAAAAAAATCGCCTACTGGAGGGAGGGAGGGATGCTGGGGAGCCTCCGGGTCTCACCCAGAAAATGGAGTTTCATTACATTCAACACTGGTTTTCTGAGGGGAGCCCCTTCAGCTTCCCGGAGCTATCTACCCAAAAACAAGGACAAAAGATGGATAAACCCGGGAGGCAGAAACCACTCACCCGAAACCCAAAGGCAAGACAACTGGCAACCCCGAATGACCCAGCAGACAACCTGGGAGACCCAAACCCTAGAACAGGGACAAAGAGAACCTGGGTCAACCCAAAGTGCATCCACAGCCACAGAGGCTGCGGCATGCAGGCAATAGTTGACAGCCACAACAGGACACAAGAAGACGCACCTCCGGCCAAACCAACCAAGCATCAACAACCCCAGGGAACTCTCCAGAAAACACCCGTCCCAACCTTGCCCAAAAAGAAAGAGATGGCTGCAAACGAACAAACCTATCACCCAGGACCCAAAGGAGTAGAAACCTCTGAGAAACAATCCTGAACAGAAAGAGCCACAGCCATAACAAACCGAGGGAAGAGAGAAGAGAGCACCATGTCCAAAGACCAGGACAACTCAGGCAACACATGAGCAGGCTGGAGGTGAAACAACGCCCGAGAACGGGGCAGAAGGAACATTAAAACCAAAAGTAAGCCGTAGCAGCTCCGCCAGTGCCGCATGATACAAGGCAACAGTATGCGGCATAAGATGACGGTTTTGAAACAGCCACGAGAGAAAGGACAAGACCACCCCAAAAAAAAAGCGAAATACTCATACGAAGAGACAAAAAG